GTTTCCTACCCCCCGCTCTAGCAGTTTAACTACTCATTTTGATTATATTGTTGTTATTATGGGTACGTTGATTGAATCGTTGACATATGTATGGTGTCAGATTGAGGTGAGGTAAGCCCCTTTTGAGGCCCTACTTGTATTAACTGTCTAAACGAGTCAAATTTAATTTTTAAGTGAAAACAAAACACTTCTTTTCATATTCATATTTATTTAGGTAACTGCTCTGATTTCCACGTTTTTGGCCTGTTGCATCACCGACGAGGGCTAGAAGGACGAAACAGCTGTATGAAACAGTGTAATTCTTTTTTCGCATACCGTATCGATTACTTAATCATAAAGATATGCAGTCACGTTTATCTTTCACCCAACTTCCGATAAAGTAAGGGGATGGAATTGAACAATATTGGAGAATATTTTTTTTGTACTCATAATGTGCAAATAGTTTGTTAAATCTGAAACGGTTGAACGAAAGGCCTTTGAAAGGAAACTTTTCTTCTTAATTTTAGAAGTCTTTGAAATACTAAAAGGCTTGAAAATGACGTTTTGCTATATAATATGTCAGCCAAGTGGTCTTCATCCAGCAGGAAGTGCATGGTTCTGTTCTGTTGTATCTACTACATGTACGTAAGTGCCGACTTATGTGTTTGACCTCGTGTATGACCGATCGGTTATCTTCTCTGCCTTCTACTTATTTTCTCTCCTTCTACGTAACAACTCTGTCCATTCATTTGTGTCTGCCCAAGCGACCGTCTTCATATTACCTAAGCGGTTGCGAAAAAACAACAACAACAACAACAACACCAAAGCAAAATAAATTAGAAACATGATCCTATTGTTCACAAATGACCGTTTTGTCTGTTTTAAACCTTTTCTAAACTACTCCAGTTCCTCCTTATATTGATAATGACAAGTACCTCGTATAATCTTACAAGATATAGGGTGTTTTTAAATCAAATTATGACTATTTTAATATGAAGTGTATAAATGATGGAAACATGTGCGGTACTAGTGGGTCGTATAGTGTACCAAGAAAGATAACTTGGTTAACATTCGCTTATCCCGGTTTAAACGGTACAGGCATCCTCGGGTTAAGGGTTATGCTCACTTTCACCGATCTGTGCAGAGAGCGAAAGTGAGCGTAACCCCTGGATATGGACCGAACTATAGGCAGAGCTAAAAATGCACAGTTTCGTTTAACAACTAACAATCAAGAGTAGTATACCCTTTTTTCATGCGTCCACTTAATTATATAACGTATCTCAAAATCCAAATGTGGTTTGACCTTTTTTCATAAAGAAATAAAGCAAACTAGCAATAGTCAGCATTTTAGTTTCGTCACGTGTCGAAGATTTAGAGGTTCAACCGTTTCAACTAAATGAACTGGATACGAGAAAGGGGCCTTGGTAGATGTATTTATCATAGTCACGGTATATCACGATGTATGTCGTACAGGTGTACTAGGGTCCGGATATGAGGCCAAGGTGGCACAGGTAGCCATGTGAGGCGGGAGGGTAACGTGTAACCGCACGTTTACAGGTGCGACACGGATGTCTACGATGGCCGACAGGAGCCTGGCAAAAAGATGTGAATTTTCATATCTTTTTGTACCATGGTACACTTTTACATAGTACACAAAGATATTAAAATTCAAATCTTTGTGTACCATGTAAAAGTGTACCATGGTACACAAAGATATGAAAGCAGAAATAAAATCAACCCGTTGCTTTTGTATCATTCTGTACCAAAATAATGGCCGAAAACAGCCATGGTACAGAAACATGTGAAACCATCAGACGTAAAGGTTACCAAGTATGACAAATTACACCCTGATAAGGCTGTCATCAAATACAATGAAATGTTATCGCACGGAATGTCTGTTATTTTGATTACACCAAATGAGCTACCAAATTATTACTTACTCATTTAAATTTAAATCAACTGTTCAATATCCTTTACCGAATTTTATAAAAGTTTTACGTTAAAAAGGAAGGCATTATGGATTATTTTTCTAATACTTACATTTCGAATGTATCGCTTCAACTTCTCAAATGAAAGAAACTCCAAATCAGTTGAAAAGGCCGACGGGTCCGTATGGGACAAGGGAAAAAAGGGGGAAATCAATTTAATTACTTATTCAGATGTCCTTTTTCCCTTTTGGAGACCCTGCCAAGGCCCCTATACTTACACAATTGCAACTAACTCTGTTTTTCATCAGAAGTGATAAATGAACTTCACGACTTGTTTCGACGTTGTAATTAGGGCTTCACTATTCGGGGTCAGTTCTGGTCATAGTGCCCGATAACAACATTCCGATGCTCTGGTGGTACACTTTTTTCATATCTATTTGTACCGTAGGTGGTACAAAAAGAAATGAAAAAAGTGTAACGCGGTACTAAAAGGAGAGAAGCTTTCATATCTTTTTGAACCGCACAAAAGTGTACCACGGTACAGAAAGATATGAAAAAAGTGTATATCGTGATTTCATGGTACACTTTTTTCATATCTATTTGTACCATAGGTGGTCCAAAAAGAAACGAAAAAAGTGTAACGCGGTACTAAAAGGAGAGAAGCTTTCATATCATTTTGCCGGCTGATATCGGCTGTTGGTACATATACATGTGAAAGTAAAGAGTGTTTTTGTAAAGTTGTTTATAATCGTTATGTACCATGGTACACTTTTACATGGTACACAAAGATTTGAATTTTCATATCTTTGTGTACCATATCAAAGTGTACCGTGGTATAAAAAGATATGAAAGTTCATATCTTTTTGTCAGGCTCTTGTCGGCCATCGTAGATGTCATAGTAATCAAGGTAGTTTGAAGGTTATATAGCCATGTAAAGTAATCCGGGTCTCGACGGTTCAGCTTCTTTTTAATTGAATCATGGAATGATCAAATTTCTCTTTTTCCCTTGAGATACATGTAGGCACGAACTCAAGGAAAGATTCTGCAAAGGGAATTCCTAGCGTCTGCCGGGATTCCGATTCAGGACGGAGAGAAGAGAGAAGGGAAGCAGGAACGGGCACATGCCCTTTGTATTTTCATGTAACATTTCCTTAAATAAAATGGTTGACCGTCGAAGGCCACTCCCATACATAGGAGTTGAGTTTTATATGATAACTGCTTTCATGTTCGGTACAACGGACGTAGTGAATTAGAATCGTTACTGCTGTATAGCTATATATAGACATGAGTTGTACTTGAGTTTACCTATATGACGCTCTGTTCTACGCGATCACATACACCTATAATTAACATGAATTTGCATACTTGTAATCTGCCTCGTTGTTTGTTTGTTTATTCTGGTTTAAGGATCCAAACATCTGCGGTTTTATCTCGTTGAACGTTGAACTGCCGCTATTACACAATGTCCCGACGATCGGGCATGACAAAGGTATGCGAGCAACGTGTCCAACTTGCGTTGACATCTGGCATAACTAAAAAATAATTAATATATGCCGATGACTTCATTCATTTTTGTTTGAAATTCGGTATTTTTTTTATTCAGCTTCAGCTCAAAATGATTAAGCTATTTCTAATTAAGTTAACAAATTGGTGAATTAGTTTTAAAGAAATGTTGTTTTTGATGCAAGAAAATTAGGTTTGGTCGACATTTCGACATCGAAAGCTTTCCTCCCTTCTCCTGCTATATAATCATTGGGGTGTCATTTTTACCGAAAGTCGATCTAAACCCCTAAAAAATGTAAAATTACTCTGAACACCTTAGTTTAAGTCTAAATGCAGCTATTGCATTTCCTTTGTAGGTTGTGGCATACAGTGTAGCCTGTCAAATTCAGGAGAGAATGAAGGATAAAAGAAATACATTTTTTGACAATGAAAAGGTATCAAGCAGAGGCCACATCTGAACTAAAACCAATTACTGTGAAGATCCCTAGATTGACCGTATAAAGGGTCATTATGACTAAAAATCTACCAAAACAAACTTGAATAATAATAATAATAATTCAAGGTTCTTATATACCGCTTGATTACAACCTAGTTCGTAGGTCATGGCATTTCAGTGAGATAACACTATAATAAAGTCGGCATCAGATGCGCGCTATCATAAGGAGGCAAGCACAACAACATACTCTGTCTCCTGCATACACACACGCAAGCACGCATACACTACACACACGGAGGCACGTCCTTAAATGACCCCAGCTGTTAATAGGACGTTAAACAAAATTAAACCAAACCAAGAAGGTCGTCTCTAAAGGGTTCACAAAATATCATCCGTGGTTATAGGGCCTTTGCAACCAGTCAATATCTTTCTCAACTCCCTGGGGAGCATACAGCCGTTGCTGCCATTTCGTCGCTCACATCTAGCATTTAATAATTCTAGCACTGCCCAACCCTCATTCACAGCTGAGTAGACTGGAACAATCGGAGTAAAGTATCTTGCTCAAAGATACAACACTGCCGTGACATGACTCGCAACCCTTCGGACACGAGCCCGGCGTCCTACCACTACCGTGTCCCCTAAACAATCAGCAAGCACTTGTCTTTCATATGATAATCGATTATCATGCAACATAGTCCGAATTATTATGACGTTTTATCGACTTTTTGCATATCGGTCTGTCGTCGATTAACATCGTGTTTCTCTGTTTTAATCTTTTTTTGATGTTTTGGTTGATATTTATTGTAGATAATACATCGTCACAATTGTTAGAAACGAAAGCAGTAAGAAAGAAAAACAATTAAATGTTGAAATGGAACTCAAACAGACGACGCAGATGAACACATCCTTTCCTGTCCCAAGTAAGTCTTCTCTTACGGTCTTTCCCTCCAGTTTTTCGATATGACACCATAGCATGTGTATTTCGTTATCAACATCAGACGATTTAGACCACCATAAGACACCGTCCTTATTGCATTATGGGACGGGAAGCAGTCTAATGCATATAGTGCATATTGCATAGTGCAAAGTGCATTGTGTATTGTGCACATTCACGTGACATCCTTAGTATTACATTGGTACGATTAACTCAAAACACCCTGTTTATACGCGGGTAAAGGCTCTGGTCGGTCAACCGATAGAATTAGTCGTCTATATGTGTGTTTAATGTATGGGCCAGTTATAGTAGTGTGTCCTTTCAACATGCGACCTTGAAACGTGCTGGAGTTCGGGTGTACATAGTGTAAACGATTTATTATAAACCTCTTAACTTTTCATAGTATATTGTCAGAGTGATACCTAGTGTGTACGCGTGTTAACTGCACTGGTTCGACTGCATCAGGTAAGTTAAAAAATATGTTGATACCCGGTCACCAGTTCCATATAGATGTTTAGTGCTAAGGTGTATTTTACCTATTCAGACGGTGACAAACATTCTTCACCGACAAAAGATTGTTAAATACTATACAAATACATTTACAGCCTAGACTCCAGGCACAATAGAATGACTACAGTATCCCAAATAGCTGGGGTATGTTTACGCTCTAGTCAATAATCGCTTGCCTAAGTAGTTAAGTTTGTGTGCGACAGGAGCGAAGTGTTGTACAAGAGTTATGTCTCTTTAATCGGAAATCTCTTTATATTTGGGAAAGGAGGGAATGAACTATAACACAATATAGACTGTCAGTGATTGTAGTTCGAGCTGAAGTATATATACCTCAAACCGCCCCTCTCTTAAATCAAAGTCATCCCTCTCCTTTTGTAGTAAGTCTACCTCATATCGATTCTCCCCTCTATGTACTGTGGCTACCCAATGTCACCTCTCCCCTCTATGTACTGGGGCTACCCAAGGTCACCTCTACCCTTTATGTATTGTACATGTTCTCCCCTTTATATACTGTGACTACCCAAGGTCAACTCTCCCCTTTATATACTGAGGCTACCCAACGTCACCTCTCCCCTTTATGTACTGTGGCTACCCAATGTCACCTCTCCCCTTTATATACTGTGGCTACCCAACGTCACCTCTCCCCTTTATGTACTGTGACTACCCAAGGTCACCTCTCCCTTTTATGTACTGTGACTACCCAAGGTCACATCTCCCCTTTATGTACTGTGACTACCCAAGGTCACCTCTCCCCTTTTTGTACTGTGGCTACCCAAGGTTACCTCTCCCCTTTATATACTGTGGCTACCCAAGGTCACCTCTACCCTTTATGTATTGTACATGTGGCTACCCAAGGTCACCTCTCCCCTTTCTGTACTGTGGCTACCCAATGTCACCTCTACCCTCCATATACTGTGGCTACCCAAGGTTACCTCTCCCCTTTATATACTGTGGCTACCCAACGTCACCTCTCCCCTTTATGTACTGTGGCAACCCAAGGTCACCTCTCCCCTTTATATACTGTGGCTACCCAACATCACCTCTCCCCTTTATGTATTGTGGCTACCCAAGGTCACCTCTTCCTTTTATGTACTGTGACTACCCAAGGTCACCTCTCTCCTTTATGTACTGTGACTACCCAAGGTCACCTCTCCCCTTTATGTACTGTGACTACCCAAGGTCACCTCTCCCTTTTATGTACTGTGGCTACCAAAGGTCACCTCTCCCCTTTATGTACTGTGGCTACCCAAGGTCACCCTCTCCCCTCTATGTACCGTGGCTACCCAAGGTAACCTCTCCCCTGTATGTACTGTGGCTAGGTCACCTCTCCCCCCTTTGTACTGTGGCTACCCAAAGTCACCTCTCCCCTCTATGTAATGTGGCTACCCAAGGGCACCTCTCCCCTCTATGTAATGTGGCTACCCAAGGGCACCTCTCCCCTCTATGTAATGTGGCTACCCAAGGTAACCTCTCCCCTTTATATACTGTGGCTACCCAAGGTCACCTCTCCCCTTTATGTACTGTGACTACCCAATGTCACCTCTCCCCTTTATGTACTGTGGCTACCACAGGTCACCTCTCCCCTTTATGTACTATGGCTACCCAAGGTCACCTCTCCCCTCTATGTACTGTGGCTACCAAAGGTCACCTCTCCCCTTTATGTATTGTACATGTGGCTACCCAAGGTCACCTCTCCCCTTTATGTACTGTGGCTACCCAATGTCACCTCTCCCCTTTATGTACTGTGGCTACCCAAGGTCACCTCTCCCCTCTATGTACTGTGGCTACCCAATGTCACCTCTCCCCTTTATGGACTATGGCTACCCAAGGTCCCCTCTCCCCTCTATGTACTGTGGCTACCCAATGTAACCTCTACCCTCCATATACTGTGACTACCCAAGGTTACCTCTCCCCTTTATGTTCTGTGGCTACCCAAGGTTACCTCTCCCCTTTATGTTCTGTGGCTACCCAAGGTTACCTCTCCCCTTTTTGTACTGTGGCTACCCCAGGTCACCCCTCCCCTTTATGTACTGTTGCTACCCAAGGTCACCTCGCCGCTTTATGTACTGTGACTACCCATTATGTACTGTGGCTACCAAAGGTCACCTCTCCCCTTTATGTACTGTGACTACCCAAGGTCACCACTCCCTTTTATGTACTGTGACTACCCAAGGTCATCTCTCCCCTTTATGTACTGTGACTACCCAAGGTCACCTCTCCCCTTTATGTACTGTGACTACCCAAGGTCACCACTCCCTTTTATGTACTGTGACTACCCAAGGTCATCTCTCCCCTTTATGTACTGTGACTACCCAAGGTCACCTCTCCCCTTCATGTACTGTGGCTATCCAAGGTCACCTCTCCCCTCTATGTACTGTGGCTACCCAAGGTCACCTCTCCTCTTTTTTTATTGTACATGTGGCTACCCAAGGTCACCTCTCCCCTGTATGTACTGTGGCTCCCCAAGGTCACCTCTCCCCTCTATGTACTGTGGCTACCCAAGGTCCCCTCTCCCCTTTATGTACTGTGACTACCCAAGGGCACCTCTCCCCTTTATGTACTGTGACTACCCAAGGGCACCTCTCCCCTTTATGTACTGTGACTACCCAAGGTCACCTCTCCCCTTTATGTGCTGTGACTACCCAAGGTCACCTCTCCCCTTTATGTGCTGTGACTACCCAAGGTCACCTCTCCCCTTTATGTGCTGTGACTACCCAAGGTCACCTCTCCCCTTTATGTGCTGTGACTACCCAAGGTCACCTCTCCCCTTTATGTTCTGTGGCTACCCAAGGTCACCTCTCCCCTCCATGTACTGTGGCTATCCAAGGTGACCTCTCCCCTCTATGTACTGTGGCTACCCAAGGTCCCCTCTCCCCTCCATGTACTGTGGCTATCCAAGGTCACCTCTCCCCTCGATGTACGGTGGCTACCCAAGGTCACCTCTCCCCTGTATGTACTATGGCTACCCAAGGTCACCTCTCCTCTCTATGTACTGTGGCTACCCAAGGTCACCTCTCCCCTTTATGTACTGTGACTACCCAAGGTCACCTCTCTCCTTTATGTATTGTACATGTGGCTTCCCAAGATCACCTCTTTCATTTAAATAATGAACTGTGGCTAGCTCGGGTCACATCTCCCCTCTTAAGCACTTCCGGTCATTTGTTCCCCTTATGTGTTGTGGTAACTTTGATTACCCCCCCCCTCCCCTTCGTACTGAAGAAACCTCAGATCACCTCTATATTTTGTATTGATGCAAATGTTATTTAAAAGGATAAACTTTTTTTTTTTTTTATAGTCAGAGATATTCTGTTTCTGAAGTAGATTAACCCAGTTCTTTAGGCTTAAACGTTAATTGTTTATCAAGATACAGGAAAAAAGAAAACGCGTTTTACTATACAATGTTTAAAGTAACCAATAGGCAGCATTAACAGAAACACACTAATTGGTTACATTCCAACAAATCAGGCGGAATCGACACGTTATTCGCAGAAAGCGAATGAGCAATTGAATGTGATAAGTGGCAAATTAATCGTTCAAAAAGGAAGGCCGGAAATTCAAAATTAAATTTCATATGCAATATTGTTAATTATCTTGAGTACTTCAAGGGGCCTCAGTTTGTTTTACAATCTCATATATCATTTGTTCCAACAAACGTATCATATATCCCTTCGAACAGATGTTTCTTAACAGAGGATAAGGATTAAGATATCTTCCTGCTTTCTCGCCCGCATATCTTTATCACATGTAGTGTAACGTATAGATTTTGGCGTAATCTTAACTTAGCGCTTCTCGAGTTTGACAAGAAGCATTAACTTATGACTGCCCTAGTGCAGTTTCTGTGTATTGTTTTTTGTTGCATATATTGATGGTGCGCCAATTCATCAATCTGTTAATTTGTTAAAATTCGATAGTGCGCTATAATTTGAACGCGCCTTAAAAAATATTAATTTCGTAAGTAATTGTAACACTGATTAAAAGTATATATAATTTTCTTTATTAAATTGATAGAATAAAACACGTTATTAGACTTCCCCTAGTTTATATATGACATTGTTAGAAATGGTGTTTTCAATTCGTTGCTGTAGTTGATATCGTATATTTATTTTTATTAATAAACATAAAAATAAAACAATAACAAAAGAATATCGAAGCGTCAACAAAAACATATTCCCCATCTCAAAATCGATAAAAACAGGGCAACATATAAACCAAGGAAATATTTACGGAGATACCCTTGAAAATGTACAAGGATAATAAGACCAGACGTTTCGGAAGGATAAGCGCCTTCTGCTTCATCGACGACACCCGCCACGTAAATCTATGTAAAATCAAAGTAATGTCACGTCCTCATATCGAGAACAAGGGAAGTGACAGCAAAACCACAAAACACAATACTGAAAATTTTAACAGATTTGTGTTTTTGCGCCTCAAAGACAACTAGAGAGAAGGGACACTAAACTTTTTGACAGATCATAAGCTGAAAGTTTTTCTAATAAAATATTATGTGCAAAAAAACTCTCTCCTATCTTCGAAAATACGTAACAAAGTAGTTTGGCAGCCATGACCTTTGTTAAAAGCGCAAAAATAAGATATAAAGTATTTTCCAAAAAATTCTAGATATTGTTTTTAAACACCAACTATTTGTCCAGAGAATCATTCTTATAAAAGGATGTTAGATAGAAAGTTCTCGCATCCCTTTCTTATGCTAAAGAGTTCTCTCATATATGAATAGGAATGAGAGGAAAGGATATGGACAAAAGTACCTCTGTCCAAAATGGACGAAATGGTCATATCATTAAGTAGGACCTTTGTTCTAAATTCTGCAACAACGTAGTGAAGTTTGAGATTCTCGCTTCTTTATTTCGTATTTCTAGTGTTTATCACACATAAACGCCAACCGTATACTGTACAACTTTTGTATTCTGTGAGATTTATATTCGTGGTATTCGCGTTCATTTCGTACATACAAATCATCCTGGTTACGTCGCGAGGAGCATAGTTATATAGTTATAGTTATTTTCCAGTACAGGAACAATATGTTCCTCTAAACCTGACTCTATCATACATGTAATATGTTCTCATGTTTAAATATTAGAGTTCACTTCCATCTATGGTTGCCTTATAATTATAAAGTATTTCCTGATTTTTCCATATTTTGTCCAGTCTATTCTTGAAAGTGTTTATATTAGGTGCCGATACAACGTCCTCGGGAAGACCGTTCCACATTTTTACAGTTCTAATACCAAAGCTGTTTTTCCTTAGTGTAGTTTTGAATTGCTGCGGGAAGATCATTTATGAATTCCTCCTACTGCTGTGACGCGTTGTTACATCCTTCCAAAGTTTAATAAAATTACAGGATTCCCTGTCGTATATTCCGCTTATTATCTTATATAGTTCAATCATATCCCCTCTAGCCCTTCTGTATGATAGTGTTGGGAGTTCCAGCTTTTGTAGTCTTTCTTGGTATGTTAAGCATTTTGCGAAAATTTTACAATATGTACTCGTAAAATTTAATGATATAGCATATGCTTTTCGAGAGAAATAAATAAATGTTTCAATTAAGTCTTGCATGTTCTGCCTGTAGGTAAAGGTCAAAGAGTTTAGTAATGACATGATCATTCTTGTCATAAAGGTCAAGGTCAAATATGTACAATGACATTAAGGCTAGAGTGATGAAAGATGGCGTATTCTCGAATGTATTCCCATGTAGTTCTGGGGTCCGGCAAGGCGATAATCTTTCCCCGTTTTTATTTTTACTTTTCCTTAAAGATTTTATGAAATCACGTGACTGCAAAGGTCTGTCTAATATAAACGACCAGCTAGAGGAGGAAGTACATGTATATCTGAAGCTTTATGTTATGCTATACGCTGATGACACTATACTACTATCAGACACGGCAGAGGATTTACAAAAGCAATTGGATGTTTTTTTTAATATTCCAACCTATGGTACCTTAAAGTCAATATCAGCAAAACTAAAGTCATGGTATTTGGTAAAAAAAGAATTCCTGTTGGCCTTAATTTTACATACAACGGTACGGTTATAGGAATAGCTAAGGATTTTAAATATCTTGGGGTATATTTTACTAAAACTGGTTTGACACAGTTTAATATAAAACAACTGTATGGTAAAGGTTTTAAAGCAATGTATGGTGCTATTTCCAAATGTAGGGATCATAATTTGTCAATAGATTGTTAACTTGTATATTTGACAAAGCCCATCAAACCTATTCTTTTATATGGATGCGAAGTTTGGGGTTTCTGTAACTAAAAACTTATCGAACGTTTACATCTAAAAACACATACTTAATATAAAAACGTCTTCACCGAACTTTATGATATACGGAGAACTTGGATGTTTCCGCTAGATATTAATGTCAAAGTAAGAATGGTCGGATTTGGGCTAAATTGACAAAAAACAACCAGAATAAATTAAGTAAAACACTGTTAGCAATTTTATCAAATTATGAATCATCATGGCTAAAATATGTGAAAAGTATTTTTGAAGAATGCAGTCTGATACATATATTCAGTAGTCAAGAGTTTCCAAGTATACATTGGCTAAAGAGTACCACATGTTATAAACTCGAAAGGAAAATGTATATCAAGCTGGAGAAATGGATTTTATACCTCTCCGAAAGGAATCAATTATAGAATATATAAATACGAACTTTGTTTAGAAAAGTACTTACTAGAACCTCCGAAACTAGCCAAAGCGCATTGTAAATTCAGAACATGTAATACTAAGTTACCAATTGAAAGTGGTAGGTGGTCCAATATACCGCGTGAACATAGATTATGTAGTTTATGTTATTTAAGAAAAATTGGCGACGAATTTCATTATTTGTTTACATGTACACATCAACCAATACTCAACTGTAGGCGAAAACATATGTCCAGATATTATTATGAAAGACCAAACACATTTAAATATCATGTATTCAATTATGTAACACAACATAAATTGACATCATTGGCTAAATTTATTACCGTTATCAATGACATAATTAATTTACAATACTAATGTCCATCCTGTTCCACCATGTATTATTGTCACCCATTTGTATATATGTATTCTTTACACTGTATTGTTAATGAGAATAAAACAATTGTCATTGTCATTGTCACACTGTAGGTAAATGTCATAGAGATCGGTAGTAGGGTGACCGTTATTGTCATACTGTATGTAAATGTCATAGAGTTTGGTAGTAAGGTGACCGTTATTGTCATACTGTAGGTATATTGTGTTTGGTAGTAAGGTGAACGTCATTGTCATACTGTAGTTAAATGTCACAGAGTTTGGTAGTGAGTGGACCCATAATGTCTAGAAGTTAAGTTTATAGAGATTGGTAATTTCATCAACTGTCAATCTGTAGGTAAATATCAAGTTATAAATCTGACAAATCTCGAAACGCATTGTTACCCTATTGTCTGTTGTTCTTTATGCATTTACAAAGATGATGTAACACTGGTTTTGTTATGTAAACCTGTGATCAGCATGCGATCACCGCGTAACTTCTCTTGTGTACTATTGCTAGTCACTACAGTATTAACGAGGTCATTAACAAATATCCGGAAGAACAGTAAATCAGCTTGATGTGTAGACATTACCTCTTGTTTAAATTTGTAAAGTTTGCGTTAAAGTTCATTCACAAATGTTATCAGCTGATGTGTGCGTGACCTAGTATAAACGTTTACACTTCATAATTCAGATACCGGTATATAACAACGCGCAAAGATACACATAGGGGCTGAGTATCTTACTGTATTTACATATTTCAGACAGAAGCCGAGTGACCTAAGAGGGACATACGACCAGTTGTGTTCGACCAGCGATGATGTACTTACTGACGCTGTTTGCTTGTACAGCCTCTGGAATCACGTGTGCCGGTGCACTACTCAAAAACGACTATGTAGGAGCTCTATTAGACAGATATGGTACCAATGGGATGGTGTCAAAAGAAGGATTTTACGAGCTCAGTACTAAAATAGGACTGGACCCTTCGTATGTCTCCGACGATAGTACGTGTAACATTACTGCCGATACCACGTGTACTCGCAGGGTAAGTGTGGGGCTCTCTTTCCAAGAAGTTACATCAATAGCAAATGACCGTATGTAAATAACGTTTACTTAGACTCATGTACTTTTTAAGCTTTCTGTATATTAATTAATTAATAATACGTTTAGCATAGATATACCTATAGTAAAAAACAAATTGAAATACGTTTATGTATAATAGTTACTTGTTTTACCCAAACCAGTATTTGTGCTTGAGCAAACTAGCCGATTTTAAAAAGTGATAATGGTTTCAGGAATAAGGATTTGATGAGGCCTTTACCAACCTCTCGAAAAAGACTTGCTAGTGGTACTATGTCTTGTCTTGCAGCCTCGGTGATCACTTTCCTTGGTGTTGCCGTTTTTGTAATAAACCTGACTCCATAGGAGTCAGGTAGCCCATGCATGGGTCCCCTATGTCTACGGAGTCAGGAAGCCCATGCATGGGTCCCCTATGTGTACGGAGTCAGGTAGCCCATGCATGGGTCCCCTATGTATAACCCCTTCAATTTGTCTTCTGTTTTAGTATCATTTCTTTGTTTATGTGCCTTCAATGCAAGCTGCCATTAGGATCCTGGCAGATTCTATATTGATTGGTTTGTTACTTCTTGCGAGTTTTGACACACATCACTCTAACGTGCTTGCCTAAAGGTGTAATCGGGGTTCTGATTTGTTTCCATGTGATATATGGGTAAGTCTTGTTGCTGAACATTGTCGGGTACATCGTCACCATGTTTTTTGTTTGTTTTTATTTTGTTTATCGTCCTATTAACAGCTTAAGTCATTTGAGGACGTGCCTCCGTGTATGTGTGCGGAGACAGGGTATGTTGGTGTTCTTGCCTCTTTCTGATGCCGACTTTATAGTGCTATCTCACTAAAGTACGATTCCGAAGGTACCCAGCACAGCATTCTGCCCGGTCACATTATACAATGGGTGAACCAGTTGTTGCCATTACCATTAATGCTGAATGTTAAGCAGGGAATAACAACTACCATTTTTAATGACTTTGGTATGTCCCGGCCTGGGGTCAGAGCCCATTACATACCTCGCCTGGGTGAACGCTCAACATTAAAGCCAAACATTAGGTATTGCCAGGCAAGGCACTAGGATATAAAAAATATTTAGAAGAAGAGAGAGATGTTAAGCTCCCTACTTTTGTAATTGGTGCAGAAATATAGTTTGTCGCTTTAGTGTCCTCAAATAAAGGGCACAAAAGCAAATCCCATATTCTGTAGGGGGTTCCCACATTAGTGGCATCTTACGATAATTGCAGTGGGTAACACCAGGTTAATTCTTTCTTTTTTCGATCCCGGACCTACATGGGTGTGTTACATTGTACAGGTTTCCATAAGTTACTATCGCGGAATCGTGTAAACATGTTGTTGATGTAGACAATGTTAGTTTGATGTCATGGTTCAGGTATTCAATTTCTGCAACTTCCCGTGAATAAATGGGTCGGTCCTCCAGCATCACAACAGGGTGTAAGTGGTTATGAACTTACCAAGGTAACATTTTTCGGTTGTTGACAAAATAAGGATAAACAAAATTCTTCAATTTTCTTTTGTACTAGATAAAAGTGTATGACTTGATTAGGTACGAAGTTGATAATTAGATCATCTATTCATTAGAAGGGATATCTGTTTTTATTCGATGTTTTTGTAATTGTATCAAGTCTGACGTAACATTTGAAGTAATAAGTGTTTTTTTTAAATTATTTATCATCAAGAGAATATTTTTAAGACGCTTCGGGTTACACTAAGACAAAAGAGACAAAATGATGGAATCTGCTAAATTTTTGTGTGTGAAACACAAGCGCCTCCATTCACCCTGGGACCTAACAAGGACCAGTGTTTATTGATAGCATGCACTTTATACTTTTATACTGGAATATTTAACTATTTTTCTGGTTATTATTGATAGTTAATTATAATCTATCATTGACCCTACCGAGGTCGACATTATCTTTTCAGTTCATGAGCATGGCGAGCCCTATTGCTTTCTATGAGTTTAGTAACAGCGAAGCTGACTTTTGTATGATATAATCGTGAGTGACATTGAGTTCCGAGTGTCGGTAAACCCCAACAGCTTGTCGTGGAAGTTATAACACCGATACGTTCTATCTAGACATTTAAGTGATAAGCCTCGTAGTGACGTTATATGCTGTATTATCATCCGATACATTGACATTTAAGACCAATACAAAAAAAAATCTTTTAACTTGACACTCTTCCTTTTTCAGTATCTATTAAGAGCAAAGTTACGTCATTATATTGTTTATATACTATTTCATCTATGTTTTTTTTTTCTCTTTGGAATTTTCTACATTTTCTATCTTGTGTATGACAACAAACATAAACATACGTTTGTCTGTTTTAATATTTATAGATAATTACTTGTTTAATATGTGTGCTTTGAGATTCATGTTTACTATCAGATGTTTTTAACCTTTACTATTGAACAATGTATTGATTGAAGCATTTGTAGCATGCTCCGTTTCTTTTTCCATATATTTCATTGACGCATTTAATGTAAGTACATTCATGTAATCTTGTTAAGACGTCGCAATTTTAGACGTCCGCATTATGTGTACTCCATTTATGACGTCACAAATAAAATCAAGTCCCCTGAAGAGTCCTAAGATTGACGAAAGCGCTAGCCGATTATACTAGTCTTCGTGTTTTGTTTTATATATATTTTTACCATCATGGTCATTTGAAACTATTCATCGCTATCATATACATTGTATATACATCTTCATACCTATTGTGTCTAAATTAATATGATGTTTAAGTTTTTCTTTTGTCTTTTTTGTTATCATTTTATCATCATAATATGATATCATGATAATGTTTTGTTTATAGAATACTTCATCTATGGATTCTTCTACATATTTTATCTTGTCTAAGACAATATTCATTTACATACGTTTGTCTATTTTAATATTTATATATAAGTGCTTTTTTTGTGTGATATAATTACGAATACTCTATTCAACAGTGTTTGGGGTACAAGGATATATTTCAAACGTACTCAGGCACTTCTGGTCTGAACAGCACCACTCTAACCCATTCTTTGTCCGCCATTATCTACTCTGTACAAGATCACCACTGTCACCATGGAAATGAGGAGAAGGAAATGGAGGAGGCAGAGAAGCCAAGCTCGGCTGAAGGTTAGAAATACGATTAATAGTAAACTTATCTGAATTGTCCCTCTATTTTTTCTAATAAGTGATCCTCAAAATCACGCCATAGGACAGTTACTAAAAAGTAACATTTTATATTGTGTATTCTAAAACGTATTATCTGTGTTACTGCGCGTGCGATATTTACCCTTTTAGCCCTGTTGTTAAATTTTCGTAACAGATTTACTTTTTTTTTTAATGAAATAATCAAAATCTATTGGAATCAATCGTCATGCTGTTTTTTTTCAAAGAAAATGAAAATTGGTTTCAAGACAGAATTACAATATACAAGCTGATCAATATATATAAAAAGTTTTGAGTGCCAAACCTATTCAAATGCACGTGCAGTAATGTTTCAATAGTTTACTGTCTTTACCAGTCCAATACGCTCAAATGCATGACGTTATGGTGACGAAAAGCTGGCTTTGGATGTAAATTGTGATGCTTTTGGACATGTGCAATATTTCATTAGATCCCGGGTTGATATCGTGGGTAATATTTATTTAAAAAGCATATTCAAGTACGTGTTTTAAAACATGAATTAATGAGTGTGTATGCTATCAAAAGACTGTTAGCAGCCAAACAACAAATTGTAGGGCCAATGAAACAGCAAAATTGGTCAACTCCACATAAATGTATATCACGTTTTAAACTACGGCAGTTATGTTTTTTTTTCACTTTTCAGCATGGGGGTACGGTATTGCATCTGCATCTGTCATCGTCTTCATTTCCAACATAGGAGTATTTTTCAAGCCGTGTATGAAATCCGTGGGATTCCAGAGGATCATGTACTTCTGTGTGGCCCTGGCCGTTGGAACATTAGGTGCTACAGGACTTCTAGTACTTATTCCAGAGGTAACACAGCTACTATTTAATCTGCATTGAAAATAATGATAAGTACACGAATATAAACGCACTGAATTTAGGATAATTTAGAGTCGAGATATATTTCAATGAAAAAGACTCTATTCTCATCTGATATAATAAGGAAAGTGAAGTATTAGTGATAGTTGCAATTGTATTTCATTAAAATGTTACGCCATATTTGTACAATGCATTATGTCTTCAATTCGGTTTTTTAGAATACGATTTGTGCATGTGCGAACGGTTTCCATACAGATAACCATTCTAAGAAACGCTTGCAGTCCTTTTGAGGTTTTAATAAGCAATACGACGGTTCCTCGTGTTCTACTGAGCAGATTACTATATATCATTGGCAGAGAGTTTTCTTTTAAGATTTACACCCGATTAAGTTGTGATAAGGAGGCTCATGGTACTGTGTCACACCTACCCACCCATTTCTCTTTGACATTATGTTCAATGCTTGCAGTGTTTGCCCATGACAGAAATAGATACTGTTGCTTGGCATTATTTTGCAAAACCTCTCAAATCGTATGAGCTGGCGGTTCATTGTAATATATAAAATCAATCTTTGGCAAATTTTATCGAATATCAATAGCCGAAATAGGTACCGTACCGTAAAGGAAAATGCATAAATTGTTGTTAGTTTTATGAAAATATTTAGCATTTTAACGTATTACTAACGACTTCATGACAGACGAAGGACTTGGTTTTTAATATGATCCGCGACATTAGAATGTTAATGTCGTTTGAGGCCTCATCATCACACAGGGCTTTTCTTGGCATACCATATGGTTATAATGAAAACTTCATTTAAAAAGGGTATACCAGATATACATTTGAAATGTTTTTAACACTGCCATCTGTTCAACAACAACAATACATAAATCATGAATATACATAAGACGTTCAATGATATAAAAGATAATTCGGTATATAATAATCGATGTTATTAGGGCCCCGTATCGGAGATACGGGTGCCCTATAGTAATCACTCTGTCTGTCTGTCTGTCTGTCTGTC